CTAGATAGCCTACAGTTGTCTAACACCTCCCAAATTCACTTCTGCCTGCCGTGCGTTTCGGGAAATCTTTGAATTTGTGCGCAATCTCACAATCTCACTGTCTGATTATTTTGAGTCAAAGAGAAGCTGGGTTTTAGAAAACTGATTTTTCCTTGGAAAGTCGTTTGTACGCAAGACCGACGGCTCATATTTTCTAGCAGGTTTGCATGCATCTTGTGCAATTAGACGGTTCCTTTATTCAGTCCAGTTATCATACTCGTTGATTTCACATCAAGTGTGCTATGGCTATTTTAGTAAGCACGAACTGCCGGTGCACGCGTCTTGGCGAAAAAAGGAAGAGGTTATTCAGAACAATCAAGTTGCACATGTGAATTTTCGAGCTGTTGACACCAATCCGTCGTCAGACCAAATAAAAGAATGTCACGCTAAACAGTTTGGTCGGACGTGACAGGTGGACCACTGGCGTGTGAGGGGTTGAGTCATGGCTTGTGTGAGAGCGGGCGGGCGGGGACGGAACAATCACAACGTTCTGTGCCGGAGGAGGGAGGGTAGATGGTGGCTCAGTTGAGTTCTGAGTGGCTGGGTTAGTGTCGCTGATGTGAGGGTGCATGTTGGTGTTGGTTCTGTGAAATCGGCAATTGTAAAGTAAAGTAAATCTATATGGTAGGATCTTCCAATTATAAGTGAAGTGGTTCAATTTAGTGGGCGTATGCAACTTAAACGTTTTCGATCTGCTAGATGAGAATGCTACGAAGACAACAAAGACGCTTAATCGTACAGTTTGTCTACTATCCACGGGCTCTGTCAACAAGCCCCACAAGCTTAAAGACGAATGGGCCTATAGGCAAATTCGTGCGAGGTCATTTAAAATGATCACTCGTTTATAAGCAGGCGAAATTTATTAATGACGAAAATCTTAATGTATTTACTGACTCTGAGAGTCCTATTTCGTCGTGCCTGCAGGCAGTCGATCAGCCGGGAAGAGAGAGGGAGAGAACGTCGACATCCGTATTTGCTTGTCCGAAAAGAAACCTACTGGTAAGGTATTTTGACTTACTTGACGTTTCACCTCACTACAGAGAAGCAACTCTTTAGGAAACAATTACATGCTGATTAAACTAGTTAAGTCCGTCAGATTCTTTAGTGCAATCAAAAGAAGCTAAGTGCCAATATATTACTCG